GGTCGGGTCGAGGGTACGATCCGTCGGAGATCTCGTGTTTTCGGGATTTTGAAGTAAGAGCTCTTTGGGAGCGAAGCACGCGACAAAAGTATAATTCTTGTTCTTAATCTTGTTTGATTAAGTTTAATATGTTTGTTAATTGTTTTAATTAAGGGGCGGGTCTTGGTGGGTTTCCTTCCGCGTAGTGTCGGGTCACTACGAAACCCTACAGTATCACTAGACGAAAATTCTAATTTGGCACTGGTTCAAACCCCCCTAAGGCACCGGTTTTTAACCGTTGGGGATTTGAGGGATGCCAAATCCTCAAAAATTTGGCACCGGTTCAAAACCGGTGCCAACTAAAGCATTTGGCACCGGTTAACCAGTGCCAACTACCTTGAATTTAATAAAAAAAAAACTGGCGCCATACCGGTGCCAACTAAAGCATTTGGCACCAGTTAACCGGTGCCAACTTTAATGGCGCCAGTTTTTTTTTTTATTAAATTCAATGTAGTTGGCACCGGTTTTAAGCATGAACCGGTACCTTTGACTTGTTTTTTTTTTTCCGACAATAATATATATTAATACTAATAAATATAATAATAATGAGATCATGTACATAATACCGATAATTAATAATAATAATAATTATTATTATTATTATTATTAAATTTAATAATAATAATTATTATTATTATTAATTTTAATAATAATTATCATTATTATAATATTAATAATAATAATTATTATTATTATAATATTAATAATAATTAGTATTATTAATATATTAATAATAATAATAATTGAAAATAATAACAAGGACATAAATATTGATAACAATCCCAAAATATGATATTAATTAGAAAAATGTGTCATAACTACAAACAAACATAATTAATCAGTAATAATGTAGTACACTAAGATAGTTAAAACAGAAATAAATGATATTTACAAATTAAATGTGATGTAGGCCGCCAACATGTCTCGAATTATATTGAGTTCCTCGCTCGTGAACGGATTTCCCGTTTGTCCCTTACAAAACTTGGAATACATACACAAAACGTAAGTTAGTAGGAGTGAACTCATAAATAGTCGTAACATGTTTTTATCACTTATTTATAGGTGGCCAAGGCTTGAAATTACAAGAAAATAGCAATTAAGGGGTTTTAGAACGCATTTTCAACCAAAATGGCCCGAGTAAGGCCATTTTGACTACTAGGATGCCTATTTCCTACATATATTGTTAAGTGAACTCATAAATAGTCATAACATGTCTTTATCACTTATTTATAGGTGGCCAAGGCTTGAAATTACAAGAAAATAGCAATTAAGGGGTTTTAGAACGCATTTTCAACCAAAATGGCCCGAGTAAGGCCATTTTGATTACTAGGATTCCTATTTCCTACATTTCTTGTCAAGTGAACTCATAAATAGTCATAAAATGTCTTTATCACTTATTTATAGGTGGCCAAGGCTTGAAATTACAAGAAAATAGCAATTAAGGGGTTTTAGAACGCATTTTCAACCAAAATGGCCCGAGTACGGCCATTTTGACTACTAGGATGCCTATTTCCTACATTTCTTGTCAAGTGAACTTGTAAATAGTCATAACATGTCTTTATCACTTATTTATAGGTGGCCAAGGCTTGAAATTACAAGAAAATAGCAATTAAGGGGTTTTAGAACGTATTTTCAACCAAAATGGCCCGAGTAAGGCCATTTTGACTACTACGATGTCTATTTCCTGCATTTCTTGTCTAGTGAACTCATAAATATTCATAACATGTCTTTATTACTTATTTATAGGTGACTAAGGCTTGATTACAAGAAAATAGCAATTAAGGGGTTTTAGAACGCAATTTCAACCAAAATGGCCCGAGTAAGGCCATTTTGACTACTACGATGCCTATTTCCTACATTTCTTGTCAAGTGAACTCATAAATAGTCATAACATGTCTTTATCACTTATTTATAGGTGGCCAAGGCTTGAAATTACAAGAAAAGAGCAATTAAGGCGTTTTGGAACGCAATTTCAACCAAACTAGCATACCTCTTCAAGCTGTTGTGTGTCTGTACAATGACTCACTATGTCAAACATTAATCTCATCACGTATAGGCCACAATCAACTCCGTTATCTTGTTGTGCGCACTAGCATGAGGAACAAAGTACATGAATCAAACATACATAGCAAATTAGCAACATCTTACGCATTGTATATTACGAAAATCACAATATCATGTGGCATTACCATCGGTGATTTCCATGTAGGACCTCGAGGAGCTCGAGAATTTATCTTCTTCATAACACTACATAGAAAAGTAAGTTCAAATTTGATTAGTATAATTAATATATATGAGTTAGGTTATGATAATCAACAACAAGAATTGAAGCTATGTATATTTACTTTTGCAGTATGGACTTCATGAGGCGCTTTCTTGGTTCAGGTAACCGAGCAGAATCAAAGAAGAAGATTGTGTTACTGGAAACACAAATCACCAGTAGGTTCCAATGATAACTATGTACATACATTCATACGAGACAAACAAATCAATAATTAGGCAAGTACAACATATAAACTGGGAAAACAAATGAATTTGACAAGCATAATCTGACGTACTCCTCATAATATGGGGCAAATATAAACATGTCTCCCGCACGCACTGATTCCTTGATATCTCGTTCAACATAGTACAACACGTCAGCGTGGTTGCCTAAGATTCTAGCAGTGGAGATCTGCTCAGGGCATAACCACCCAATTTGACATGGAGAACCAAGCTCCCATAAGTGCTCTGCTTGCATGATAATAGAATGTTAATCGAAAACCAACCGACAATCACCACTAAACTGAATTAACATAAATTGAGTACTAGTTGAATTACCTGATGCATATTTGAATGAGGGAAATGTTAAGCATTGCACCACTTAGAAATTCCTTCACATCTTCTTTGAATACCCATGCCATTGCATCATCATCGTAGTGGAACATTTCCTTAGGTAGTGGAACTTGAATGGGGCTGTCACTAGGCAACACGCAAACACAGTTGTGCAGATAAGTTAACTCCTTAGAGAACGATTGAAGCACCGTGTCTTCAACTAGTGGAGTAGCTTGCATAGCTTAACCTCGTGAAGAGCTCTTGTTCGACGCTTTTCCACTCACCGAGCCATGTTCACTCCTCTTCTTTGGCATCGGTTGATCAATGCTTTTTGGCCCCTCCACCCTCTTCTTTGGAGTTTGGCTTTTCCTCGATGGCTAATAAGACAAATCACACAAATGGTTAGAAAAGAATTTCATCCAACTCTTGGGATGAAAATCGGGTATAGAGTAAAGCGTGAACTTTAAATCTTAATTACCTGGTTCACCAACCGTATCCAAGCACATGGCCATTGCACAAAACTACCTTTTGCCGCCCAAAGTGTTGTAAACTCATCCTCCTCTACGGGCACAGGTATTAGGATGTCCTCGAACCCGACAACCACATAATGGATCCCGACCGAATAATACTCAGGTCGAAACGGTCGCAAATGGACCGTACCTTGTTCGGCCGGTTGTGCACTACCATATGTAACGACATTCAAAGCTCCACTAAGCGATTCGCCCGGGTGAAGAATTTCACAACGGGTCTCTTCCTGCACCAATTTGGAATATCACTTGTAAGAAACAAGTAAAACAAAAAAAAGGGAATAACAAAACAGCGGAACAGCGCAGCAACAGAACAACAGCTGTACTTCCGGCACTGCTGCTGCCTGCTGCTTGCACAGTTGCTCAGCTGCTGCCTGCTGCTTGCACAGCTGCTCAGCTGTTGCTCAGCTGCCTGCTGCCTGCACAGCTCACAGCGCGGTTCTCAGCACAACTCAGCACAGTTCACAGCTCACGGCACAACTCAACACAGTTTACAGCACAACTCAGTACAGTTCACAGCTCACAGCACAGAAACAGCGGCAACACAGCACAAAAACAGCACAACTCACAGCAGGCAGCATAGCTCACAGCTCCACAGAAACAGTAGACACAGCTCACAACACAGAAACAGCAGCAACACAACACGCTCACCGCACAACTCACAACATCACAGCAGGCAGCACAGCAGGCAGACGGCAGCATTAGATCAACCATGAAAGTAGGTAGGCAGCAAGCACAGAAAAAGCATGACAAAAACAGCATGACAGCACAGAAACACGACAACAATAGCATTGAAACAGCACAGAAACCGGTGTTTACATGAACGAAGAAACACGAAACAAACGAAGAAATGAAGAACATTTACAGCACATAAAACCGCAAACTTCATCCAATATACAACACAACAAACTTCACAAATTCACAGCAGAATCAAAGAACCAATATCACCATCCAAAGAAATAACTAAATAACTCACTTGTAGAACTGGAAAGTCATGAGGTGTTGGATTTTCAAGCTCCCTCAAGTACGCATGTGCAAGATTACTAACCTGCAACAGTGTATTGATAGTGCGAGGCTAATTAGAACCCACGTAACTCAAAAAGTCAAAACTTATACATTAGAAACCACTTGATCATGTACCTCCTCGTCTGCATGTATCTCATCTTCTCCTTGTTTTCGTGGGTGACTAGAAGAGTCGACCGGTGTAGTCGAGGAGAAAGGCAAGCTCAGCAAGTTCATTTGCTTTGCCCATGCATTGAACTCTTCTCGCATCTCGTTGCGCACTAGTTCCTTGATTGATGCCACCGTGGCATCCAAGTTGACCGGTGAGTTCATACTTGCCCGAGATCTCCCTGATTTGGTATATTCCGGACCCATTACCTTCTCCCATCCTAGCAAGCTCCCCCCCGCACCCAATATGCATCCTGGATGGTAGGGCTTTCCCAAAGCCAAGGTGAAAGGGTCCTTCTCCACTGTTGGGACGAGCTTGCCTTCAACAAGCTCTTCAGTGTACTCAAGCTGTAGCAAAAACAAAAAGGCAACATCAAGTTAGTGTTTATGTAAAGTGATATATATGCAAAAGATTCATGCAGTTCCAATTCATAGTTGCTTACAAGTTTATCTGCCATTTATTTCGTTTCCGGAGCCTTGATGGATCATTTTCCGGTTTTCTTGTCACGAGAATGCAAAGAACAAAAGAAATCTCCGGCACAACTCACCAAAGTACTGGTCGTGGAGTCAGAGGACACTCTGGAGGACCCTACAAGCACAGTGGGGTATACTCCCTCACTCACCCACGTCTCCCTCCATTCATCTAACGTCATACACCCCATACGATGGTAGTATTGCTTCTGCAATGCATTCTTGGAATTCTGCTCCCTTATTTCCTACATAATTAGACATATTAGTTTCAAAACTACCAAAATATTAAATATGTTATACAATTGTCATCAGAGTTACTCTGTAATACCCCGTATTTTTGAAAGGTATTTTAGTCTTGTATTTTGACGTATTTTTCTAAATTAATTATTTTCTAAAGAGTATTTTAGTTTTGGAGCCAAAATGATATTTAAATTTTGGCGCCAAAATCATTATTCTAAAAAACTAATTAAATTGGATAATCCAATAAATGAAACTATTTTATACTTATGTTATAAATAGTATTTTTGATTTCTCAAAATTTAAATAGCTAAACCAAAATTATATTAATTCGGTAGATTAATTAAAATGTATTTTCGGTTTTCATAGAATAAAAATCTAAATTGTTTTAATATTTTTCTAAATTAATTATTTTCATGAAATATATTAATTTTCGGATTTTATACAATAAAAATCTGATTTAATTAATTATTATATGTCAATATTTTCGGCCACCCTAATTATTTAATAAAAATCTGATTTTTATTCTTCAATTATTAATTTTCACAAATAAATTTTATAGGATTATTAATTTTAGGTAAATAAATTATTTTACAAAATCATTAAATTAACATAGAAGCACCGAAAATATTGAGCAATATTAAGCTCAATATTTTCGGCCACTCATAAATTTTCTAAATGGTTTTAATTTAATTTATTAAAAATAAAAATCCTTTAAAATTCCTTATTTCTATTCTTAAATCTAAAATCTCTTGATCTTATTCTATACTTGCACTCCAAGCTTAAAACCTACTAAATAATATTTCATGACCAAATAAAATCTAATACCCTTCCATACATTTAAAACCCTAATTTCTATTCTTTAAAATTTCCATAAATTATACAACCCTAAATTTCTATAAACTCATCACCTAAACACCTATAAATAACCCCTCATAACTCTCATATTCTTCACACCAAAAACTCAATTCCCTTCTTTTCTTTTACTCTTCTTTTCCCTCAAACTTTTCCTATTTTTCTTTTCCTCTTTTCTAAAAGAAAATCTGCCCGTATATCTTTGGAGCCAATTTTCGGGCACTTCTGGTCATTTTTTGGATTTTTCTATTTCACAGAAAATTATTCCTCTCAAAATATCCTTGAGGTTAGGCTCAAGAATCACCCAATTCGGAGTTATATCAAAGGATTTATGACCTTTGCAAGTTCTGCCTATCCTTTCCAACGCAAATTCAATTTCCTTTAATCCTATTCCTTTATTTTCTTCATGGTGTATTCGTGATTGAACTTTGAAAGTGCGAAGTGTTGATTGATATTCGGAATTAAGGTACGTTATGTGGTTTGATACCTTCGAAAGTTGACTATGAAATTATGTTTTAATATAGTTCTTATGAAATTATGTGCCGTATGAAATTATGTTTTACTATATGAAATTGTGTTTTATGATAGCTTGAAATTAATGATTTTGGTTACTCAAAGAGGCTTTGAATTGTGATTAAAATTATTAAAAGGATTGGATTAAAAATGATTTACAAGTTTATTGATGTCCAAGTATAACGGATTTTTTTTTTAAAAGATGCTTTTAAGCAATCAATCGATATGGTTATGAATCCTACTTAGGGAATGGATTAGAGAAGGCTATGGACTTTGCATGACCTAGCCTTTCCTCAAGATTGGCCTTTGTTCATAAAGTAAACCACTTGGGGGGTGTGCACACTTAGTGAGGAATTGGTTTTGGAACGTAATCGATTGAGTTTTTAAATTTGTCTTGAAAGAATTGAATTGGAAAAACTCTTACTTGAGTACGACATTGGAATTCTTATGAATTAAATCTAAATGATTTAAATTATGTTTTACTTATCTTACACATAATCTACTTAGCATAATTTGCTAATACGTGCTTTTGTTTTGGCTTTGCCCTGTTTACCATTTATGGTAAGCAGGTGAATGTTTCAGGTGGAAGTTGATTGATGCATACGGGAGTCCATGGGAATTTCACCTAGCTTAGGAAAAGTTGGAGTCGTTTTTGTGTCACAAATTATGAACAAGTTTTATTTAAAGTTTTATTAATAAGAATAAAGATTTTCCGCTGCAAAAGTATTTTAAAGTATAAGCCTTGCGTTATCACGCGGCGGTAATACGCCCCAGTCTATCTCTATGGTATTTATACGTATTTTCTACATATTCCGTAGAGGGAGATTTGGGGGTATTACATACTTGAACTTACAATTGCTTCTTTTTTGCTTTTTTGAAGAACGAAAGCATCCCAATCTTCCTTTGATACACTAGGCCATATTTGCCATGGGAGTTTCTCTTCATCGATGACTTCATCATCCATGCCACCTCCTTTCTTGTTCTTTGGTTTTCTCACAAGCTTCTTTGTGATAAACCGACAAACTAAGGTGGTCTTGAAGCCTCTGAATCTTGTCGCAAGTAAGGATTCAAACACCCTTCACTTGGCGTACTCATTTGGAATGTTAAATAGACTCTGCAAGCACAAATAACAGTCATTATTAGTTTGCCCATTAAATAACAATAAATTGAAGGAATTTATAAACGTGGAAACAAATCACTTACCCTTGTATCATTCCAAAACGTGTCTATCAAGCCAATAGGTACGTCGCTCAAACGAAGAGTAATGGGGATTTTGCGCGCACAAATCCCAACTTGAACAGCATACTGACGACGCCATTTACCTGTCGGTTGTCCTACCCTGTCATACTCCAAGACCATTGGACCGACAGGTTTCTTGAAACTTGTCGTCGGACCCCTCATCTTTTTCTGCGCTTGTCCCTTCACCCCCCCTCCACTTTGATCCTCGCCCAACGACTCAGACATTGCATTCTCGATAGGAGGCGCTTGATCAGCTGAAATTTCAAACTCATCTAACATACGCTCCAAAGCATCGTGAGCCTGATCTTCTGCCTCACCCAAATTCTGCTCCTTGTTGACATCATATAGCTCGTCCCCATCCCCAGATGAATCATCATCATCATCCTCTACATCCTCGACTCCTAAAATGTACCGATCGTCCGCTATGAGATGTAAAAACCTGTCATTACAAACGTAACAAGTTATTAGTTGTAATATAAATAAATTTGTAAGGTAAAGTTATAATCAAATATAAATTGCTCGATTGTAATAAAAATCAACATCGAAAATGGGCAAGTAAGTTACTTCATTCATTTAAAAGAAAATAAGAAAAATGGGCAAGTAAGTTAACAATTTCATTCATTTTCACCTAATAATTTGATTTAATAATACTTTCGACGCCTACAATTTCAAACTAACAAAAAATAGTACCTCAATCTAATATTCCTTCGTCGTGGTCTAATCGCATGTAATTGTCTTGGTCGTCTATCTCATTTGGTACAACAGGTCTAGGAACAGTGAAAGGTGCCGAGTCATCAAACGCATCATATTCTTCCTCATCCTCGACATCTCCAACGCCAAGGACTCTTCTTTTGCCGGCTAGCACAATAGACCATTTTGAGTCGGTTGGGTCACTTACGTAAAACACTTGCTTGGCTTGAGATGCAAGGATGAATGGTTCAGCACTATCATTCAGGTGGCCAAGATCTACAAGAGTAAAGTCATCATGTTTGACGTTACGCCTGATATTATCAACCCACTTACACCGGAAAAGAGCAATCGTGAAGTCACAATAATCAAGCTCCCAAATTTTTTTTGAATTCGACCGTAGTATGACAACTCTGCATCAACAGGTGATTTATCCTTAGCACTTGCAAACTCCCTTGACGATGCCACAAGCATTACACCACTGTTTTGGGTCAAGGATGATTTCAAATCCTGACGCTCAGTCCAAAATGTGTACCCATTTATGTCATATCCCTCAAATGAGCGAACGTCATCCTAGGACCATAAGCAAGCCACCTTACTGTATCTGTGACACTCTCATACTTTCCACCCATCACTCGATCACGAAACCAGCTCACAAACTTCTTATTATGCAACTGCATCAGTGCCCGTTCACCTTTCGATGGAAATTCATCACGCAAACTACCCATGTGCTCGTCTAAATATGGGTGAGCATCTGCAACATGGTGCAACACATATAAGTGCGCTTGTAAGAACTTCTCTCGATCAGGTGACATTCGTTTCGACCCGATTGTGCCATGACCATCAAGTCTCCCTTCGTGTCGAGAAGTAGGAATACCAATAGGTTTAGCAATGGCTATATAGTCGGCCACAAAATTACCGACCTCCTCAGCCACGGTCCCTTGAATCATACTTCCTTCCGCGTGAGCCCGATTCCTGACTTTATCTTCCAATGTACCCGCACAACTTAATCTCATGCACCAAATGAAGAATCAAATACACCATTATGTCGAAAAACGAGGGTGGGAAGTACATCTCAAATTTGCACAAAGTCACAACCACATCCGCCTGCAAAGCATCAAGTGTACAAGGATCAAGCACTTTGCTGCATATTATATTGAAAAACGAACAGAGGCTTGTAATAGCTTCCCTCACGTGCTTTGGTAAAATACCACGTATTGCAATTGGTAGGAAAACTTGCATCAGAACATGACAATCATGGGATTTCATACTTGTCAGCTTTAATTCTCCATTTAAGGATACAAATCTTTTAAAGTGAGATGCGTACCCTGATGGAACCTTAATGTCATACAGACATGCACAAAACATCCGTTTTTCTACCCTTGACAATGTGTAGCAAGCCGGAGGTAAATAGGCCTTGCCCTTCTTGGCTTTTCCCTCATTTTTCTTCTTCGACGCATCCGTGGCCTTTCCCTTTCCCTTGCTCTTCCCCTTTCCTTTTTTCGAACTCATTTCATTTTCATTTTCCTGTTCCTTTTCCTTACTAATCCTTTGCTGAACCCACAATTCTGGACGCACCCCATCTTTTTCAAATCGTCCCGTGCACCCTTTCCGTCCTTTGTCTTGCTTTGAATATTCATCAGCGTTCCCACAAGAGCATCACACACATTCTTCTCTATATGCATTACATCAAGACAGTGCCTAACGTCATGTTCTTTCCAGTACGGGAGCAACCAAAAGATTGATTCTTTTTTAAAGAGAGCAGTTGACTCCGCCGCTTTTTCAAATTTCCCAAAGACTGTTCGTACACCCTTTACTCGAGCGTAAACCTCCTCACCAGTCAACGGCCTAGGAGCAGTCCCCTCTTCCGTTGTCCCATCGAAAGCCTTTTTCTGCCTACGGTACGGGTGATCGCGCCTGAGCAACCTTCGGGTTCGCAAGTACACCTCTTTGTGAGAATGATCAAGGCGTCTTCTTGGCGTATCATCAATACAAATGGGGCATGCTTTTTTCCCTTTGTTCTTATACCCAGACAAGTTTCCATACGCAGGAAAATCATTAACGGTCCACATAAGAGTTGCACGTAATGTGAACATCTCATTCTTATGAGCATCAAAAACAGAAACCCCTTCGTCCCACATCTTTCTCAAATCATCAAGGGGCGCAAGATAAACATCTATGTCGTTTCCAGGTTGCCTTGGCCCCGATATCAATAGAGAAAGCATTACGTATTTCCGTTTCATGCACAACCAAGGAGGCAAATTGTAGATCACTAACAGTACCGGCCACGTGCTATGCTGGGTACTAAGAGTGTCAAATGGATTCATCCCGTCCGTGCACAAACCAAGCCTTAAATTTCTAACTTCATCACCAAATTCTCCAAACTTGATATCAAGGTTCTTCCGTTGTGGGGAGTCGGCTTGATGCTTCAGCATTCTGTTTTTCCTTTTTCCCTCTTCATGCCACCTCAAGTTGTTAGCGTCTGTTGGTGTTGAGAATAGACGCTTAAACCTTGGAATAATGGGAAGATACTACAACACCTTAGCAGGCGGTCCCTTCGTACCAGCATTGCAACTCATGCGCTTGTAGCGCGACTTCTTACATCGTGGACACTCCTCCAATTTTTCATATTCATTTCGATAAAGAATACAATCATTAGGACATGCATGTATCTTCTTATACTCCAAACCAAATGGACACATGAGCTTCTTTGCGTAATAGTAAGACTTAGGAATTTCATTCCCGTCGGGCAACATCTCACTTAACGCGCTCAACAAAGAAGTAAAACTAATGTCCATCCACCCATGCTTCGACTTAATGTTAAAAAGTGTTAGCACGGCTGATAGTTTAGAGTATTTTTTGCACCCAGGATACAAAGGCTTTTTAGAAGCCTCCGATAATGACTCAAACACGTCACCTTCAAAACCATGCATCATCTCATCCACCCCTTCATCCTCGACCTCATCCACATGATCATCCTCAAATCCATCCTCAGCACCAGTATCAACAATATGTTCATCATTCTTGTATTCCTCGTCCACACGAATGTCATTGCTTCTATCATCATGCACATCATTCCCAATAACATCCCCACTGTACTCTCCTTCTTCACCGTGCCAAATCTACACATGGTATTTAACCCTAAACCCACGACAAACTACATAATCTCTAATGATATCAACACTATTGACCACCTTCACATTATTACAATCAACACAAGGACAATAGAGGCAATCGAAACCCATTCTGCGCTGATAAGATGAAACTCTCTCGCAAAACTCTTGAACCCCCTAAGTGAGAGTAAACGTTCAAGAACAGTCCCAACCGGGGACTATTCAAGACTTTCTCCTAATGAGAAAGCCTTGAATGGGTATCTAGGCATATGATGATGCAAGTATTTCACATTTTTATTGTTGTATTTAGTTTGTCATGAAAAAACTTTTATTTAAACAATAAAGAGAAAGAAATATACATAGCTTATTAGAGAAGTTTATAATTCATACCAATACAATGGATGTAATCTTTCTAACTTCCCACTTGAGCTAAATATGTAGTCTTCAAGCTGGTATTGAACTTCAAATCACATATGAATCTATAAAAACACAAAAAAGAAAAAACAAAAGAATCAACAAAAGTTAGGAAGTATGAGAAATGGGTAATAAGAAAAGATAGGGGCATATGATTAAGGAATGAGAGAGAAAATGGGGCAACAAACCACAACAACCACAAAAGGTATAACACTACTTAACCCTATATATCGCCTATATATCAAATTTATCGCCACAATGTATTTATACATGTTTGGTTCGCATATTTGCAATTTTATATGACCTATTACTACTTAACCCTGGTGGCTAAGTTTTATTTATTCATTTTAGTAATTGCAATTTTATAATTCAAGAGACAAGTGGCTAAGTTTTATTTATTCATTTTGCTCCCCTGCTACCTCACTCAAACACCTACACCAAAACACTACACATCTAGCCCGCATTCCCTCAGCTCCATTGCAGCCATACTACTCCTAATCACCGACCACGCCAAACACCTAACAACCAAGACCATCTCCACCCTTTGCAGCCAAACATCACCTCAAATCACTACAGCAACTCACAGCAACAGCCACACATACAACAACACCACCAGCAGCACTAGAAGCCCCCAACAACCAGCAAGCAGCAGCCCCAAAACCCCCAATCAGCATGCATATATATAAAATAAATGTCACACGTATACAACATTAGCATAATTTGTTCTGTTCAAGCAACATACTCACATACAGATTAAGTAACATAGCTAAAAAATCAAAACAAGAACTTACATTTCATAACCATATACAAGCTAAGTATATATGTGGAGGGTCATTGTGGAGGGGGGCCTTGCGCGTTTAGTTGACAAACTCTATATTACAAGAAACTTACAAGTACTAAAATGAATCGCAAATCCTCAAAAAACCCATGAATGGGAAGGAATTCAATGGAGAAATTGAAACCTAGGTATACCTACCTCGAAGATGCTTCAATGGAGGAGAGATGAAGGTGGTGCGTGCGGCGGCAACTGCTCCAATGGAAGGTCTAAACCAGAATTCAATGGAGTGGAAGCAATGCAAAGAGAAGAGAAGAGGGAAGCAATACAAAGAGAAGAGAAGAGGGAAGCAGCGAAAACCAGAGGCAGAGACGTTAGAAGCAAAGGGCATAATTAAAACACCCGGGTTTTTTTTTTTAAACTGGCACTGGTTCAAACCGGAGCTAATTGTTGTAATTGCCACCGGTTCTCTCTAAACCGGTGCCAACTCCACTCCCTGCTTCTTTTTATTTTTATTTTTTTTAATAAAGGATGGCACCGGTTTGAACCGGTGCTAATTAAGCTATTTGGCACCGGTTTAGGTTAGAACCGGTGCCAACTCTCAAATTTCCAATCCCGCCCATTTATTTTGGCACCGGTTTTCAAGAACCGGTGCTAAAGGGGGGGTGCCTATTCAAATTTTCTACTAGCGTATTTAGGGAGAAATACGTTCTGTTTCACTGAATCCTCAAACATATACTCAAACAACTCCATCAAATTGGTCTTATCAGTTTCATCCACCCTCACATCAAAAGTACCCCCTGGAGCACGAACTAACAACCACATTGCACTCATCCTAACAACAACATTTACCAACAACACATTACATCACAATCCAAACTATAAATCGCATACAAAACAAAAAACTTCACTTTAACATAACTCAAATTCGCATACAACACATCAAACTTAACTTTCATATAATTCACATTCGAATTTAATAGCAAACAAACTGACACAGATGATCAATTTCCACGAAACCCTAACCCTAACTCAATTTTGCAAAAAAACAACAAAATCAGAACTCGAAATGCAAATGGATAAGGATAGTAATGCCTTGCGTATGCTTAATCCACCGAAGTTGCGAACTTTGTGCAAAATTCAGTCACAAACACCACGCTGTGTCAGAAACCTCGTCAAACTGCCTCTAAGTTCAACCGTTGGTCCCAATTTGCTTTCCTAGTTGCAATTCACTTCACAAAATCGACAATTTGCAATTTTTGGATGGATTTTTAGGGTTGAAGATCAATGAAGACAAACAGACAGTTTCTTCAATGGAAAAGAAGAAAGATGGGGGGTCAAATTTTAGAAGATGAGACGTTGTGTTTGGGAAAGTCAACCCTAACAATGGCGCCATTTAATGCGTAAGGGCATATTGGTAATTTACCCCAAACGACACACTAACAGAAGTTACCATTAATGGCATTCTGTGTTAACGTACAGTAACTGAATGGTATATGGTGAATTAAAAAATTTTGTGTGGTATATGGTAAATTTTGAAAAAACTCAGTGGTATTTCATAAAAAATCCATAGAAACTAGGAACTCATCTGGATCGTTCATTGCGCTTCATCTGACGGCATGTAGTTCACCCGCTTCATTAAGGGTATGATGATAATTTCCCGTTTTGAATGACTACCGACTTCATTCTAAACGCCTTTCATTTTCACTTTCTCTTTGTTCAATACACTTTCTCTCTCCTGCATATTCTCTCTTCCTGCGAATTTTTGCACTCTTCTCATCTTTGCATCGATCTACTTTTCATCTTTGTCTTTCGTTGCAGCTTGAACCTGGACAAGTAAGCTAAGTGATTTTGTTTTTCTTTGTTGTTATTTATTCAATTGGATTTTAATTTTTTGATTTTGTAGGATTTTGAGTATGAAATTAGGGTTTTCGTGATTTTTAATTTGAGCAACTTACAATTTCATTTTTAATTTTAGGATTTCCTCGAATTAGAGTTTCGTTGAATTATTTTTTGTTTCAATCGGATGTTTTTCCATGAGTTTTGTTTCGAATTATGTTTTTGATGAATTTCTATGGATGTACTGTCAGCTTCTAAAATTATAGAATTTTTATCTATTTTTTCTGATATTTTCATCCGAAATTTGGATTTTGATTATTGTTGTTTTCTTTGATTTAATTTTATTATTAAAAGTCAAGATTATGCGATTTCGATTGCAAAAACTAGGATTTTCATAATTGTTCTATAGAATTAGTAATTGCAAGTTCTATTTCATAATTTGGTATCAATAATTTATTTGATTTTTGTATGATTTGAGGTTGCTTTTCTTATTTGTTCAACTGAGGTATTTTTTTTTATCTATATGAATCATATGTTCGACTGAGGTAGGTCTTTATTTTAATGAATCAGAGTTTTATTTTTATTTTGGTTGATTCCTCTAAATTATTTGGTCTTTTTGAATGGTTATGCTTTTGAATTCTGGGTATAGTTATTTGATGTCATATACTCATAATGAGAGTATGCAACTGCAACTTGTAATGAGCAACACTACATGGTGGAGTTGGGGTGTAGAATAGTTGTTCTATTGATTAATGATTCTTTTTCATTTTCCATGTCTATGGTTAAATCAGTCAATTATATATTTGCTTTGTTTGTAATTGATTTGTACTTGATTTTTGATGTCAATACAGAGATTCCCTTCGTGTAGTTCTTATACTTGTAAATTTTATGCTTTACTTTTGATAATTTTTCATTTACTTTTGAGTAACTTTTTATTACTTTAAAAATTTCTTGATGGGGTTATGCTTGCCAGTAGCGGATGGTGGTTGATGTGGTTTATTGTGCTTGTCATGTATCACTCGGATGTATAGAGTATATAAAAAGGGATTATAGGGATCTGAATGCATTTTGTGCATTTCACTACAGTATTGCTGCATTATGTAATGATATTTTAGTCAGTTTTATCTCTAATAATTTTGATACTTTGTGTATTTTCAGGTTGAGTGTCCTGAGTATCCAGGCTTTTGAATAGCACAACAAAGGAAGGAATATATCCATTTGTTGAAATATTTCATACCCCAAAGCAATTATGTCAGATCCTTCTATATCTAATACTCCGTAGTCTTTTGGGATTTGGACCATGCAAGCATCCAGTTTTAGGATCATACTTCCTTTCAAATTAGATTTACTTTTGAGATTGTTTTGTTTACTTTTGAGATCATTTTATTTTTTTTTATTTGCTTTTTAGTAATTTTCTTTACTTCGACAATATACACTAGCCTACTAGCTCAATAGGTAGAGTATTGTGCAAGTGCACAAAAGATGTGTGTTCGAATCCCACGTAGGTTTATTTATGAGATGAAATTATTTCTTTTAATTATTTGTGTGTATTTCATTCAGTTTACTTTAAAGTCTTTTTTATTCACTTTAGATTATTTTTTATTTACATTTAAATACCCCAATCTTCTTGCTAGTTGGAGGTCGTATCTTAATGCGAGAGCTTCAGCAAATGCAGGAGAAGTGTAGTATGAGCATACTTTTCCAGCAGCTACAACCTTATCCAACTCATCCATGATCACTGTCCCAAGCCTAATAGCCCGCCCCACTTAAACATATGCATCCATATCCACCTTCTTGTAAATGATCGAGTTGAGTGCTGCAGCCCTGCCACGCAGGGCAGCTGCTGCTGCTGCAGGCCAGGCTGCTGCTACAGCTGCTGGCCCTGCCTAGGCTGCTGCTGCAGCCACTTCCCTGCCATGGCTTGCTGCTGCTATGCTATTTCTGTTGTACCGCCTGCTGCTGCTATGCTACGTTTGCTCTAATGCCTGCTGCTATAAATGCTGCTCGAGAGTTCTTAAAGTTGAGCAAAACGGGAAGCTGCTGTGAGCAAGAGTGCAATCTGTGCGGGAGGAGCAGCAGAAGCATTAGCAGAAGTAATATTATTTATTTACTTTAATGATGTTTTAATGTACTTTTTAGCCTTTTTTATTTACTTTTGAGCTGAGGTATTTTGAGTTCAACACTTTATCACCAAATAGTGACATGCCCCATCTCCAACTCCAACCCCTACCCAGATATGAAATAAAAGAACAAAACTATGTTACCATAACCCAAGGCTTTATTGCAGTTACTTTATAGATTATTTTATTTACTTTTAAGATTATTTGGTTTACTAGCTCAATTCTTCATCTGCATGACTTATTTTCTCTATACAATTAGTATTACTTAATAGATTGATAACACTAGCCTACTAGCTCAATCGGTAGAGCATTGTGCAATTGCACAAAAGATGTGGGTTCAAATCCCACGTAGGTTCATTTGTGTAGTCTAAAGATTAAACTTTGTATAAAAGTTTATTTTAGTTATTTATATGTTTTATTAGATTTCTTCTTTTTTTGTTTACTTTCGATATAGTTTTATTTACTTTTAATTTGAAAACCTCTACATTGAACTCAATATATTTGTTTCTTATAATTTGACTCATCTGAACCTACACCTCTATGCATTTGCATAGTGCTCTACGACTTGAGCTAATAGGTTTACATTAAAGTCTTTTTTATTCACTTTATATTCTTTTTTATTTACTTTAGAGATCACTTAGGATTATGATCGTTCAATGAAATTAGACAATTGCTAGTCTTGAGCACAAAAGGTTTAATGAAAACCTATGATTCAAATGCACAACAAACACAACATCATACTCGAACCCCATATATTGACAGCCCATTCTTCTAGCAAGCACCATTCTCATTCTTGCAGCCAAGGATTTTGCCATGACAACAACCAACTTGTCTTATTAAGGAAGACTTGAAATGTCAAGAGCCACTACATCCAATAAACCATCAGTACATACATGGTAAATTACTAATTATACTTTTAGAGCAAAATAGTTAACTTTTGCACAATTTTAGTTTATTTTAACAAATTTTAATCTAATTGGCCGGGTTTGATATTTATGAATTTTAGCTTACTTTAAAGAGCTAGATTTATAAACCTAGATTGTTAAAGCAAATTCTAAATTGAATAACTAAAATCTGTTGATAACGAGCTAAATGAACTGAATTTTAGTTTACATACATTCTAAAAATAACAAGCTAGATTAAAAAAAAAAAATAGTTTAGAAATCTAATTCAACTAAAATTGCAAAATTAAACTAATTATAAATCGATTAATAAAATTTTTGCAAAATTAACCATAATCTATGCAAAATTTTTGGCACATCCAACAATCAATCCGTTTCACTTCAATTTGCAGCAGAAGAACTTCAAAATTGAAGAACTGGTAAAGTAAAATGTAAATTTGATATCAAAATTGAAAGTATGAAGAAATTCAAAGAGTTCGATTTAAGAATTAACGATTAACCCTAGATAATGAAATCGAAATTCAATGATTGCAAAACAGAGAGAAATAAAACATCTTACCTCAGAAGATGCTTCAACGGAGTAGGAAAAGCTCAGAATCCGCGTCAATAGAGTAGAGGAGAACGAAAATGGTAAAGGAGAACGAAAACGGCGTTGGTGAGGAGTGAGAAAATCGCGAATTTGTTTGTGGGACTTTCATTTAATTTGTCAGAATATATCCTAGCCGCTGATCTAGCGCGCCTCTTCTCTTAGATCTAACGGTTCTGATTAGTTTCTAGTTCCTTATTAAAGGATTGGTTCTCATTATAACCTTGTCTATATATATCTATGAAAAATTTATGAGAATAATCCGACTTTTAGGTCATTCTTTTTTAATAATCCCACCTTTTGATTATTATTTAATAATTCGACTTTTGGGTGCCTTTAATTTTTATTGGTCCCAACCGGTCATGTAACCTGTTATAACAGGTTACATGACACGTGGCGGCCTGTGATTGGTAAAAAAAAAATTAAAAAAAATCTTTAAAAAATTGAAAAAAAACTTTAAAATTTTTTTTTTTTTAAAAAAAAAAAACACCAATCACCACGCCAGCCACCGCATTGCCACTATACCCACGCCCAGCCTAACCCCTGCCTCCGGCGCTATTTCCGACCGGCGAAAACACACAGTCACTACCTCCCCCAGCCCCCACCACTGATTTCCGACCACCCCTCCTTTACCCCAACCCCGAAAAACCTGCCCACACCACCGATTTCGCACCCCCCTTCCCTTCCACACACTGCATCAAATTCCCGATATGAGGGGAGATCAATTTGTCGATATGGGGGGGAGGGTTCGCCCCAGCCCCGCCGGACTGAAACCAGTCTCATCCTACCCCATCGGACCGCAACCCTTTACCTACCCCGAAGCAAGCAATCTATTTCTGGAATTTGGCTATGGCGAAGCTATCCAATTACTCAGCCAAAGTCCATACCAAATATCTCCATTTTTTCTGATTTTCGATTACTATGGAGATCCTTTCAGGCACCTTTTCGCTTCAGCTTCAATTACCCTTTACAATCTGGTTTTGGGGTTGGGTTAGGTGGGGTTCCGATCGACACGGTGGGTTTCAAGGTGGTTGTGGGATTTCGGTCTATTGGGGTGCGGTAGGTGAGAGGGGGTGGTGGGTTGTAGGTGTGGCCGCGTGAAGTCAGTTTGGTTTAGAGGTGGCGGTGGGGAATGGTGCCAGTGGAGGTTATAGTGAATGGTGCTGAATTATTTGGGTATTTTTTTTTTGTTTTTTTTTTGGGACCAATTATGTAATGACATGTGTATTTTAAACTAACAAAAAAAAATTACCTCTTCAACCGGTTTCTGGTCAAATGGGACCAATAAAAATTAAAGGCACCCAAAGGTGGGATTATTAAAAAAGAATGGCCTAAAGGTCGGATTATTCCCATGAATTTTTCATATATATATATATATATATATATATATATATATATATATATATATATATATATATATATATATATTTCCCGAGTTTTAAGAGAGCCATGTAGGATTTAATTTTCTTAGCGCGCCATGTAGGATTATAAATTTTAATTGTAGCCAATTAAATAAGAGATTATTAATTTCTCTTAGAATTAAATAATTTAAATACCAGATAAGCAAAATTGACAAATGAGTTTTTTAAGTTTAAATTAATTAAATATAAAATATTATCTTTTGATATTAGGAATTTAATCTAAATATATGACAAATTGTAGCACATAAATACAAAAAAAAAAAAAATTATAAAATTTTCTTAACGAGCCATGTAGGATTATAAAGTTTAAAATTATAGCCAATTAAATAAGAGATTGGTAAATTCTTTTATAATTAAATAGTTCAAATGCCTCATAAGCAAAATTGGCGAATGAGATTTTAAAGTTTAAATGAATTAAATATAATGTATGGAGTATTATGTTTTGGGATTAGAAATTTTATGTAAATATATAACGAAGGTGAGGAAATTCACAATTTATTTTAAAATGAAAATATTAAATAATATATTTTACTTATAACGAATAAAATAACAAATTTTATCACGTACTTACAAAAAAATATTTTTGTTTTAAAAAATACTGATAAACCATATGATTAGGGGATTTTTACCCACCAATCATCATTCGACAAGTGGACCAATCAGGTTCCGCCACATGTCCTCCACGTAGGTCAATTAGAGTCTGCCACGTGTCAGTCAGTGATCTGTCCACCGTGGACCAATTGTGACACGCCACGTGTCCTTTCCCATGACACATGGGATAGCTGGCCACCAAGGCCCAACTCTTAAGGAGGCCCAGTCAGCCCTAGGTTAAACCTAAACCTAGAGAGTGGCACGCTTCCTAAGGTTATAAATATCTTCATTAATCCTCATTAAACGGGATTACACACATTAAACACTCTCACCTAGAGAGACTCAATTACAGTATTCCGCATTAACTACTCCCTAAACAAGTACTAACTTGACCGTTGGAGGCGGATCTCCAATCACTCGGAGTATCCGTTTGTTTTGCAGGTACAGGCGTCCGGTTCCAGTCTCGGAATTGTAACTCTCCCGCAGGACATCAGAAAACCCCGAAACAACATACATCGCACGGTTAAATTTATGCCAGTCAAAATCAAAATGAGACACTCCCTAAGAGCAATGCCAATGGTGAGCATTTTATTTGCTCATGGGCAAATTTGATGGGAAAATAAAATGCTCACCATTGTAGAAGGTGAGAAAATTTGATCAAGCCAAAAAAAGCCCATGGGCAAAATGAAATTTGCCCAAAGAGTGAGCATTTTCGTGTAGCTACAGTGAAGGAAGTGGGCCCCACAGCAGGTCAGACGCAATTAAAAAAATTTGGCTGGGCCCTTATCAAAACGACGCGTTTTGATGGAGTGGTCTGAAGGGCCGCTTCCAAAACGCGTCGTTTTGACGCTTAGAAAAAAAAAAAAAAAAATTTCGCTGGCAGAGGCGCGTCAGAATTGCTGGCGAATCAGAGCGCGCCACGTGTCTTGCGCAGGGGATTGACCAATGAGAAAATACTAGCCGTTTACAACGGTAATATTATTTGTAACTGATTTTCCGAAAAATATATTTGTTAAAAAAAAAAAAAAAATTACCAACGGTCATAAAATTAAATTCTCTATAAATAGACATGCATTTTGATATGTTTTGATATAATTTCGTAATCACCTAAAATCCTCCACTTTTTTATTTTCTTAAGCATTTTAAATTTGTAGAAGAATATATTTGTTGCAAAACATCCATATTGAGGTAAAAAAATTTTTTTTAAATATTTAAATTCAGTTATGTAATTAAATTAGTATATATGTGATTTTTTGAAGAAAAAAAAATATTGTAAGCCATGTAATTATATTGCATTATGTAATTAAACAAAGTTGTTGATATTTTCTCCATAAATTACTAAATTTGTAGTTAAAGTGTTGCAAATATTGGTTATTTTTTTTAAAAAAATATATACATGTAGTTATGTATTAAAATTAGTATATATGTGATTTTTGGAAAAAAAAAAAATATTGTATGGCATGTTATGTAATTGCTTTATGTAATTGAAGAAAGTTGTTGATAATTTATCCTTACATTACTAAATTTGTAGTAAATAAAGTGTTGCAATTATTGGTTAATTTTATTTTAAATATATACATGTAGTTATGTATTAAAATTAGTATATGTGTGTTTTTTTTTAAAAAAAATATTGTAGGCCATGTACTGTAATTGCATTATGTAATTGAAGAAAGTTGTTGATGTTTTCTCCATACATTACTAAATTTGTAGTTAATAAAGTCTTGAAATTATTGGTTAATTTGTTTTTTTAATATTAAAATTTAGTTATGACTTTAAATTAGTATATATGTGAATTGGTTAATAAAGTTGTTGATATTTTTTTGGATTTGTTGTCATTTTAATTTGTTTTTTGAGTAAATCTTAGTAAAAATATTTATCTTTTGTTTTGTGATGCAGAATCTTTTAATGGATCCAAACAACCCAAATTTCCGTTAACAATTTTCTGGTTTTAGTGATGATTTACTAACTAATCCCGAGTTTCAATTGTTCTTGCAAAGAATGGGCAATACGTCTTTGCAACCACCTCCACAGTATCAGACACCTACTCAGTTTCCCCTACGAAACCATGTTAATGAAGAATGTACACCTGAAATTGAACATGATAGCAACACACAATTCGATGACAGCGAAGAAGACAGCGTACCAGAGACGCCGCAATATCCTCCACCAGTTCCGGAACTGAAATCCAACCAGGTTGTTGCACGAGCGACTCGAATTTGGTCAGTTGCGGAAGATGAAACTCTGATTGGGTTGTACTTGGAGATCAGCGAGAATGCTATTAAAGGCACGAGCCAGAAAGCAACTTCCCTTTGGCGCGATGTACACGCAGCATATCAACTTGCTCATGCGGAGAAGCCGCATTTACTTCCACCAAGACCTATGAAGAGTCTGACGTCGCACTGGAGAAGGTTGGCAGCAGACACACTACAGTGGATATCTTGCTATGATGAAGCAGGTAGACTTCCGGAGGGAGGGAGTGGTTACAACGAAGCTGACCGTATAAAAAGTGCGTCGAAGCTTTTCCATCTCGCCCAAGGTCGTAATTTCGCTTTTCCTCACGCTGTTGAAATGCTTAATAGAGATCCAAAGTGGAGGCCAAAACTTTGTCAATATGCTTTAACTTTAGGTCATTCATACCGACATGGTGTAGTCACTTTTGTTCTGAATTCACTTTGTCAAGATTTGTCATTGTCAACTAGCATAGTATACCTATTCCGTGGCTGAAAATTTGAATGCTTTAGTTGGTGTGGTCATTCAGATTTGTAACCACATATTCATTTGATTTATTTGATATATATAGTAGGCATGGCACATATCCACAACCACACCAATTCAGAAAATTACAATATTAATACATGATGTATTCCAGACCATCATCAAGTTCAAGTTCAAGTTCATCTTCTTCCAATAATGAAGAATATGATCAACTCGTTGATGAACTCTTCACATACCAACCCACATCTTTCCTCATGCCCCAAACACAATCCCAACGTACTTCAAAATCACGTAGAGGGGGTACGAACAGAAGAGATTGGGAAATGGGACATGCCAGGCTGTTCAATGATTATTTTTCCGATAATCCTGTGTACAATACCACCCAATTTAGAAGAAGATTTCGTATGCAACGACCTTTGTTTTTACGTATAATGAACAAGGTCGTTGAAGGTGATGTTTACTTCCAGCAGCGTAGGGATGCAACTGGAAAGTTAGGCATATCACCTATGCAAAAATGTACAACCGCGATACGAATGTTAGCCTATGGCATGGCTGCAGACGCTGTTGATGAATACGTTCGAATCAGTCAGTCAACCGCTCGAGTTGCCCTACAACGTTTTTGTGCCGGGGTCATTGACCAGTTCGGAACCGAGTACATGCGAAACCCTACAACTGATGAATTGGCCCGGATACTGCATCAAAATGAACTGCGTGGTTTTCCAGGCATGATAGGCAGCATTGATTGCATGCATTGGGAATGGAAGAACTGTCCAACGGCTTGGAAAGCGCAGTACGCCGGTAGGAACAAGAAAGCAACGCTAATACTGGAAGCCGTTGCGGATCAGGATTTATGGATATGGCATTCCTTCTTTGGTATTCCCGGATCTTGTAATGATCTTAATGTGTTGTACCGTTCACCAGTGTTCGATGAGGTTCTGCATGGTCGAGCTCCTCCGGTAAATTTTACGGTTAACGGCCATGAATACAACATGGCTTATTATTTAGCCGACGGCATTTATCCGAAGTGGGCAACTTTTGTTCAGGGTATCACATTCCCTCAACTGGCCAAAGATAAAATGTTCGCTGACCACCAGGCTGCCGCTCGAAAGGACGTTGAAAGAGCTTTCGGTGTGTTGCAAGCTCGATTTGCAATAATACGAAAACCGTCGCTGGCGTACGATGAGGACATACTGCGGGACATAATGAAAGCATGTATCATTATGCACAACATGATTGTTGAAGATGAGCGCCACAACTACACTCGAGCCGAAGTTCTAAGAGCCTTCTACGAAGAAGATCAACAAGAATCAACACCAGCATCAACATCTACAACGCCACCGTTTGAATTCAACGTAGGCCGACCTACCAACTTTGATTTCAACGCATTTCTACAGCGAAAAGCTTCCCTCCGTGACAGAGAAATTCATCTATCTCTGAAACGTGATTTAGTCGAACATATTTGGCAACACTACGGGCCACGTAATTAGGGAGAAATTAGCACGACTTAAATAAAGCCAAGTACTATGGCGTAGCTACTTTTACTTGTTGTGTTTATTTTATTTCCTAAGTTTAATTACGCATGACGTTGCAAATGTAATTGGTTTCTAGTATTGTACCGCTTTTAAAATAAATAAAAACATTTAAGAAATTTTGAGCTTTTTTTAAAATTTTTTTTATATAACGTACTTAATTTTACGACAAATTTTAACGATAAAAAGGACAAAAATAAAAAAAATAAGTTACACAAATTTTAACTAGTTTTTATTTATTTGGAGTAACATTGTTAAAATATAAATGAAATAAATAAATAAAGAAGTGTTGTGTAGGAGAGAGAAAGTAATGGTGGGGTATTGAAAAAGTAAGAGAGAGAGAGAGTGGTGGGTGGGCAATTTTTTTGCTCACCATTGGGAGAGAATATGTGAAAAAAATTTGCCCATGAGCAAAACTTATTTCTTGAGAGAGAAAGTGGGTAGAGAGAGAGTGGGTGAACATTTTTTTTGCTCACCATTGAGAGTGGTCTAATGAAGCACTATACTAGACCGTTATTCAAATTGGCAAATATGCCGGTTAAAATGAGACACTTCCCCAAGATAGTGAAACATTTTACTCGACCTCCAAGTGTGACTGTGTGAGCGTTAATACTCCTAGTTACCCAACTGCTAGCCAGAACAAACACAGATTATAGCAATTGTAAAGTTATCAACCATGAAATTTACAGACTCGCCGGTAATCGAACTTGTCGTCAACAACACTACTCTCTTAATTCAACAGGACAACAAGACTATGCACGTCGGCACCTCAGTCTGGCCTGCATCTCTCGTCCTCGTCAAATTTGCTGATCATTGGTCTCACTTAAACCCTAAAACCCCAAACCCAAACCCTTATTCCGATCTCCTAAACTTCAATGACAAACGCGGCGTCGAACTCGGAACAGGTTGCGGAGTTGCTGGAATGGGTCTATATCTCTTGGGGTTAACCGACGTTTACCTCACCGACATCGCCGCTGTAATGCCGGCATTAAAGCACAACTTGAAGAAGAATAAACCAGTGTTGAAGAAGTCCTTGAAGACGGCACAATTGTATTGGGGTAATTCCGCACAAATCACGGCACTTTCGCCGCCTTTTGATGTTGTGATTGCTGCTGATGTTGTATACTTGGAGAATACAGTGAGGCCGTTGGTGGAAACTATGGTGGAAATGGTGTCGGAAAATGGTGTCGTATTGCTTGGGTACCAATTAAGGTCGCCGGAAGCTGATAAGCTGTTTTGGGAGGTTTCTGCCGAGGTTTTCGAGATTGAGAAGGTGCCACATGAGGATTTGCATCCTGAGTATAATTATGAGGAGACTGATGTTTATATATTCAGGAAAAAGAAGAATAATATTGCGTAAGATCATCGGTTACTCTCTATATTTTTTATTTTGTTATTTTTTCTTATTAATGGCAATTTTCAAATTTTTTTATTTTTGTTGGGATTGTGATTATTTTGATAAACTTTAAATTGTGACTAAGAATAGTGTTATTTTTTTTTACTTGAGAAGAATGATTATATACACAGTAGCTAAATCGGCAATAATAATGTGTGCTGTACTTGAAATTTTGACAAATTTGATTGTTTCTTATGTGAATATTGTATGATCAGTGATTGAGGAGGGATGGTTAACAGGTAACGTGTCTTTTGATGTTTGCTTGCAAGTCGGTTTGTGATTGTTGCTCTCGGTTTGACTATGGAATGACTATCTGTAGCTTTAGTCTATCGTTTGACTGTATTGCAAAAGAGGATTTAGAAAGAGAAACCATGGAACACTTTGTCTTGAAGCAGCTTTAATCTTGAAGTAGCTTTTAGTTTAGATGGCTGTCCTAGTGTCCTGTATCAAGTCGATCAAAGTTTTACTTTGCATAGTGAAGGGTTTGCTAACTACTATCATTTATTTTATTTTGCTTGAGAAAAGAAATATGGCTCTTTGGAATTTGATGTGATTTGCAAATTTTGCTAGTCAATTGTTAAGTGGTGGAAACTGAAAAATTGTGTGTTTTGAGTATGAGGTCTGAACTATTGAACAGCTAGTTGATATTACTTGGTTTTGTCATATGCATGCTAAGTTACTATCATATTGTTTTCTTTTTGGTGTATATTATTACGTATCTGTTTGTCTTTGACAGCTTGTTTGGATACAATTTTAGGGAAGGGGTAGGGAGGACAGGGAAGAGAAGGGGAGGGGAGGGAGGAGGAAATTCAGCTCCCTTGTTTGGATAAATGAGAAATGGAAGAAAAGGAGGGGAGGGAGGAAGAAAGGGTGAAGAAGAACATTAGAACAATCAAAAGCAGCAAAGTTTTGCTCCTTTGCTCCATTCAACAACCAAAAAAACCAAAAACGCTTGATTTTCTTCTTCTTCCTAATTATCTTGGCTCCATCAGCGCATGATTCCTTCATCTTCAGATCAATCATGGCAAATTACTTATCTCTTGAATTTCAGCAAAAACTTAGGTACAATACTTACAGTTTGAATAGATGGATTTGTAGGGAAAGGGAAGGAAGGGTAAGGAGGGGATGCAATTTTCTTTTTTTTGGATAGCAAATTAGAGGGTTGCAAGAAAAGAAGGGAAGGGACATGAAGGGAATTTATTACCTTTAATGTTTAAGTAATATATCTCTTAAAATTGGAAAGATTTAGAAGGAAATTGGAATTGTTAGGCTATTACGTTGCTCCTCTGCTACCATTTATCAGCTTTTCGTCCATCTCTGTTTTGTTCTTCATCGTTTATCCACAAATGGTTGCCACTTTCTCTCTCCTCTACTCTACAATTGAAAAACATCAAACTACTTTAATTTCATCAATGACGGCAAAAGTTGACAAAATTACATCAAACTGCAATTTGAAACTAGAATTTTAATTTCATCATTGATCAAGCAATAATTTTGCTGACATCAATGACGGCAAAAGTTGACAAAATTACCGATGCATCTAATTGATCATTTTTTTCGAGCTCCGTTTCAATGGCTACTTCCTCCATTGGCAGCGAATTCTCCCTCCCTTCCCTTTCCCTTGTGATCTCTGTTATCCAAATAAAGGAATTTGTTATCTTCTTCCTTACCCTCACTTTCCCTATCCCACCCTTATCTTCCCTTCCCTCCTTAAAAAGGAAGAGAGAGATCAGCAAAGGAGGGGAGAAGAGTTGCTGAAACAGTAGAAGCCATTGATGACAAATACAATGACAATGATGGTGGTAGAAAATTGGAATTACGAGATTGGGGATAAGAAGGGTGCAATGTCCCGTTATTTGTGGAGAGAAAATTTGAGGATCTTTTTTTTTTTAATTTTAATTTTTAAGAAAAGGGCAGAGTTGTTTATTCATGAAAATTCAGTTTGTATAATTTATTATCTTTCCAAATTTTTTTGAATTAGAAAAGATTTTAGGGAAAACTTTATTTTAATGAAACTAACTTTAGGCCATCCTCTATAAACCGTGCCACCTTTTAATTATCTCACAATGGACCCAACTTTGGGGAACTTCTTCCCGAAACAATCGGGTTAATAGGTTACTAGCGCAATGTGTTGCATTTTCATTGAGCTTTTTAATTTTGTTTTTTTCAAAAATTTACTTTTCTCTCACTCTCTTCCTTCACAAGCTCCACCCCCTCCGTCACTACTAGTCCACCACCTACTAGACTCCATCCACCTCTACCACCCACACCATCATCGGAAATCCTAACCCATTGCCGCAATGACTAGCCCTAGATTTGCAACCACTTTTCCATCTCCATCTCCAATGCCAAACCCATACCCATTTTCCGGGTTCTCCGGCACCCATCTAGACCTGAAAAACCAAATCCGCTGCTAATTGTGGTCATTATGGATAGTTGGCATGGTCGGTGTAAGGGAGAGAAAAAAAAGAAGGCGGTGGTCGGCATGGCTAGGTGGCCTATGGAATAGAAGAGAGAAAGAAGGTGCTGCTTGTGGTGAAGAGATAAAGGAGAGATAAGGTGGTGTTCTTTTTAGTTTTATAGAGGTGATAGGGGTGATTGGTGGTTTTCCATGATCACAAAAGAGAGAAGGTGGTGGTTTGGTGTGGTGGGGTGGTCGGGGATAGTAGTGTAAGCAACATGATGGTGGTGAAAAGGGAGGAGGTGGGTGGGGAGAGGGTGATCATTTTTTTTTTTTTTTATATATATATATAAATTTTTTATTTTAAATAATAAAAATGAAAACAACAATGCCCAATAAAAACGCAATACGTGGCATTGCTAACCGGTTAAACTAGTTACAACAAGTTAAGGATCGTTTGGAAGCCCCCAAAGTTGGGTCCATTGTGAAATAATCAAAGGTGGGACTTTATAGTAGATGACCCAAAGTTAGGACTATTAAAATCAATTTTTCCAAGATTTTATTTTTAATCAATAAATGGAAAATTTTCCCTCCATTTCCCTCACCTGCTACAATTGTTATCCAAACAGGCAAACAATAGAAAATTCTCCCCTCACTATCCCTTCTCTTCTTTTCCCTCCTTTCCTTGTATCCAAACAAGGTGTAACTATGTTGATTATTATCTTTTACTTTTTTACATTTTCACTATAAGGGCTAACGTACTTTGCAGTTGCTTGCTGAAATACAGAGAATACAAACTTCCTCTGCTTTGATTTTGCCACTATTTCTTACCTACATGTTATTATTGGCTTATTGCAGAGATGAAAATACAGGTATACAGCCAACGAGGATGGTAGTTCTTGATGAATAGACTGGAGCATTAGGAGATCGTTTTGAGGCAGATAGTAGTTGGAGCCAGGTATTGGCAGGAACTTTGATTAGTGAGTTATTATTAATCTCAAAATAGTCTACTCTCATCGTACCTATCTTAAAAACTGTTTCCCCTTTGTGCGCATATGAAGGCCAATCTGGCTCTCCTGTAAAGGAGTTGTACCGGAGTTTGTGAGGATATAGGTATAGTTTAAGTAGTAATATATAATTAGTTGGGGAGAGGATTTATCATAGAGGATCCTATCCTCAATGGATGGTAGAGTGGACATGTACTATGGTTGATTGAACAGAAATAGAGAAATTCTATTAAGGTTATTTAAGATTTGCCGGGTTTAAGAATATAGAAATACTAGAAGAGCAGATATCCTATTTATAATTCTCTATTTTTGATGGGTTGTATTTAGAATGTTTTCTTTGACTGCAGTATTGCTGTACTATTTTTATCTTTTATTTTTTGGGAAGTATTCTATTCACATGCTAATATATGACCCAACCCTGATATATAGTTTTCTGCACACAAAGAACATTGAATGGCTAGGAGAAAGCTTCTTAGAGTTGCATGTTAATTGTATGAGTTGTTATGATTTGTTGGAGTTGTTTCCACTAACTGCGAAAAGCACAGTATCATTGAGACTTTTGTTTCTCATGAAATTCTGTTTGGTAATTGTGAAATGGTGTAAACTCAAAGATCTTTTGCACCATAATTCAAGGGACTGGACTGGGACTAGGTACAGTAGCATAAGGTATTTGTAGAACAAGTGACGTGACTATAAATCTTAAAAAAGTTGAAAGGAAATGGTAGAATAGTGCTTGGCAAACTTTCTAAGTATTTCTATATCTGAAATAAATTAGTTTGTTTTACTATTATTCTTACTACCCTATGAGTTGTTGGAATATTTAATTAGATGAATTGTGCTGCCGAAGAGCAGATACACTGTATCAAACTTAAGTTAGTAAACTGTTTAAGAGTAGTGACTTAGATTGTTAGACACCTCAGGTGTAGTTTCTTAATGGGTGGTTAGTGGAAGGCCTTTTACTTTTCATCAAAAGGTTTTTGGTTCTCTGGAGTATAGTTGAATGGTCGTAATGCTGATGGAACCTCATTTTTCACCAGTGGAGCTTTAGGTAAGGGGGCAAGGTTGCCGTACCTGCTTGCACAAGGATATTGTGTTAACAATGTATCCTGATTGTTCCCAAACTCATATTTTCAGAGTTTGTTTGCTTTAATTGTGTGGGCATTGGTTGTGGGTCACAAGCAATAAAAAATTTGGTGCTTCAGTTCTTCTGGTGGATATAAAGGCCATCTGGTTGACTATTCGAGGGATTCTCCTTCTAAAGAGTTGAAAAATTATTTTAATTTGAGGTCACCTGTTTTCCCTCTCCTTTTTATCCCCTTATCACTCTTTGAAAACTCTTGTAAATTATACTTCCTTTGTTTTAATAATATTGCCACATGGGGGACAGACACAAATTTAAAGATGAGGAGAGAGATAGAGAGAAATATAATAGGGACCCATGTGATCCCGCAAAAAAAAAAGGACTCATGTGATGAGGAGAGAGAAAGAGAGAAAATATGTGCAAATAGGGAAATGTTACAATACTTATGCAACTTCTTAAAATGGGAATTGTTCCAATATTACTAGAATGGAGGAAGTATTTGTTACTCTTTCTGTTTTCACTTTACACACTTTTTTCCAACTTTTATTTAATTGGTTATAGGTTGATTATATTGTTATACTCTTTTTCCTTTCCGAACAGTTGCTTATGATGATACATGTTAACCGACCCCAAATTCTTTTGGGACTAAGGTTTTGTTATTGTTGTTGTTTGAGGTCAAAGCTAATCAATATTAACCATAATTTTAATAAAGATATATACTTCATATTTGTGTATAACTTAAATTACTTATGTTATTTCAATTTTTTTTTTTTTTTTTAAAAAAAATAATCACTTTAGTTGTGAAAAATCAAAATGAAATTAATTGTGGTATATAGCTAAGTAGGAGATTATGAGGAGAAATGTGAAAGGATGTTGGTGTTTCATACTTTCATTGAGATATATAAGTTGGTAAGTCCTGTAGGTATCATAGTAGCTGATTACTACTGTGCTAAAATGCTTTGTGAAGAAATGTGTTTTAGATATTATTACCTTTTTAAGTAGTGTTTGTTTTTATCTCCTGGGTTGGACAAACCTCTGCGTAATTCCTAGATCAGTTCACTGAATTTACTTTTTTTTTTTTTTTTTTTTTTTTTTTTTTTTTTTTTTTTTTTATAATGAAAGAAAGTTCACTGAATTTACTAGTAAAAGGAGTATCAGGCAATTTATACATAAATATGATAGTTAGAATTTTGCTTTTATTACATTCAGTTTGATGGTCTTTTGAAATAAATGTGTTGGGTCATATTAGACCTTATTACAGCACCTATGTACACTTCCTTATAAACATATATTCCACTGATGAACAGAATTAGGGAAAATTAGTGGCTAATTTTATTAGTCTTTGGTCATCTTCTGTTGAAAAAGAATTGGTGCTTGTTTATGTTCTTTTTTATGTACAGAAGATTTGATGGGTGATTAAGAAGCTATTATGGACAGCAAAACGGGAACATAGCTGTTGAAGCGCTTCCTTTGGTATTGTTATTGCTTCTCTGATCAAAGGAAATGATGGAGGAATGACTGTAATAGTCACCCGTCTCATTCCTTGGACCCGGGTTGCTATTCGCCCATTTAGTTTCAAAATGGATCCACATTGTCTTGGTTGTGTTTGGTAAAAGACTTTAGAGACTGCTAATTCCCCGTCTTTTTCTTCTTCATCAACACCCAAATGATATTGATGCATAACCCAGTTAGTCTTTTGGGGTTTCTTTTGCTTGCCGTAATTTGTGTAGAGCACCAAGATCTTTTTGTATCCTCTCACTCTACCATTGATGAGAACGGGTCGAGTCTTGCCTGTTTTGTGCCACCGGGTCTCACTGCCATCCTCTTCAGTGTGGACCTTCCTTCTCTTTCTAGTTCCTGTAGTGTATGCTTTGGAAGGCCGGTGGAAGAAGTGACGGACTTGTCCGTCATTTTTTACTCCTGCAATATGTCATGCTAAATCATTATACACATGCGGATCACATTATAGATCGGATCACTTCGGACTATGTCGGATTGGGCAGATCAAAAAGGGTTGTGTTGAAAACGAAGATTATCATATATGAATCTTGTGATAGTTTTTTTTTTTTTCCTGCTTTAGTGAATAGCATACATCAATCTCTCTCCCCAGTTAGTTTTAAACACCAAATGGACCAAGACAAGTAGACGTTTTGCCAACATATTCACAATCACCAACCCCTCTTAATTTATACACTTGAACAGAAAACAAGTCTGTTCTCACAAAATAGACTTGAAAAGGAAGTTGCATCGTCATTTGGGTAATTACCATGCATTCTATTTCGTGTTCAATAAATCTATGCATTGACATTAGACTAATATCTTTAATGGGTACTGATTAATAAACGAGGTACAACTATTGAGTATTGACTGTAACATGTTATGTTTCCCATTGAAGTCACATGACAATTTCCAGACATGTTTTTTATTCTTAAGTTTTGATTATCACTAGGTTACTTGTTTTCTTTTGATTCGGAGGAAATCTTTTGGGTTCATAGTTTTGTTTGTTAACGGTGGAAAATAATTTGGAAAATTTGTCAAAAATAAAACGACCTTTAGGCGGTTTTTCAAAAATAAAACGACTTTTAGGCGGTCTTTCAAAAATAAAACGACTTTTGAATTATTCTAAAATACATTTTTTGACATACATCTGCTTAAAATACTCCCTCCGTTAAATATTATCTGCAACTAAAGTACAGTTTATGATTGCCAATTCAAATTTTAAAGGGCAAAGATTAGAGAAAGTTAAGTAAGTTGTGGCATGTAATTAAGGTGGAGAGAGAATGTAATCAAGTGGCAAAGATTAGCCAACACCGCCTTCACCAACACCACTACCAACCCCACGAAACCCTACCACCACCAGCCCTAACCACGTCCAACCCAGACCACCCCACCACCCAGACCCACCTCTAGCCCAGACCACCCCACCACCCAGACCCACCTCCAACCCAGACCACCCCACCACCCAGGCCCACCTCCAACCCAGACCACCCCACCACCCAGGCCCACATCTAACCCAGACCACCCCACCACCCAGACCCACCTCTAACCCAGACCACCCCACCACCCACGCCACCAAGACCCACCTCTAACCTAGACAACCCCACCACCCACGCCACCAAGACCCAACCCTAACTCAGACGACCCCCTCGAAACCACCACCACTACTACCCCCACGAAAATCGAAATCTTGAAAATAAAAACCCAGAAAATTAGAAATCAAAACCCAGAAATTCAAAATCAAAACCCAGAAATTGAAATTAAAACCCATAAAATTGAAATCAAAACTCAGAAAATCGACGAAGAGGAGAGAGGAAGAAGAAATCAAAACTCGGAAAATGAAATCAAAACTCAGAAAACGAAGAGGAGAAAGGAAGACGAAATCAAAATTCGGAAGGACGAAGAGGAGAGAGAAAGACGAAGAGGATGATGAGGAGAGAGGAACTGGAGAAGATGAAGGACGAAGATGAGAGAGGAATTGTTATGAAGGATGAATTGGAGAAGATGAAGAGACGAAGAGGATGATGAATGGATGAACATGAAGGATGAACATGGAGAAGATGAAGAGACGAAGAGGAATTGTTGGTGGTTGGGATTGGGAGTGAATGGAGGGATTAATTAACTCCGGGAAATCTGATTAGTTTTAGGTTAACGTGGTTAAATTAAGTTAATGGCAAAATTAAAAAAATTAGAATTTTTAAGTAAGGGTAAAAATGTCATTTTAAGGGTTTTTGTTTACTAAAAATGAAAAGAAAACAGATAGTTGCACATAACTCTGATCTAACAAAAATGGCAAAAGTTGTAGATAATATTTAATGGAGGGAGTAGAACAAAAAATCATCAACCTATTTAAAAGGTTAAACCAGACACGTGTTGTATTGTGATTGGCTATGATTTTTTTTTTTTTTTTTTTTTTTTTTTTTATATTAATTTCTTTCTTTTAAGAAAAAAGATTTTAATTTTTTATGAAAAATTACAAAAATTCCCACCCCTGTCCCGTTTAGCCCCTCCACCTCCCCCCTTCTCGTTCACTTCTCACCTATCGCCGACCACTTCGCCCCTCCCGACTGTCAAGCAGACCCCACCCCTCCTTGCTGTTCGCCGCCGAAAGTCCCCCTTACCCCAACCCCGACGCCGTTCTCCACCTAAATAAGGGGACCCCACCTCTACCACTCTGAATACCCAACCCTAAGACGAAGTTCACCCCTAAACCTAAAAATCGGTGACATTTTATTACTTTCGAGGGAGGGTAGGTGGGATTTT